CCTAACCATATTTGGCAGATGGACGTCACACACTTGCCAGAATTTGGAAAATTAAAATATTTGCATGTTACAGTTGATACTTCTTCTGGATTTTTGATGGGCTCCCTTCATACCAGAGAAAAAATTAAAGATATTATAGCTCATTGCTTACAAAATTTTGCCACTGTGGGCGTTCCAAAACAATTAAAATAATGGTCCTGGCTACACTTCTACCTCTTTTAAACAATTTTGCTCATCATTTGGCATTACTCATATAACAGGAATCCCATACAATCTACAAGGACAAGGCATAGTTGAAAGAGCTTATCAAACTATTAAAATGTACTTATTAAAGCAAAAAGAGAGAATTGGGAAGGGGTATATATCCCCCAAAGATAAACTTAAAATAACCCTTTTTATGCTAAACTTTTAAAATTTGGGTTCATCAAGGCTTAGTGCTGCAGAAAGGCATATGTGTCCAAAAAATGTACATAAGCCCAAGGTACTTTGGAAGGATATTCTAACAGGACAATGGAAAGGTCCTGACCCAGTGGTTGTCTGGAGTCGGGTGTCTGTTTGTGTGTTTCCACAGGGAGAACAGCAGCTGATTTGGATTCCAGAGAGATTAACTAAAGCGATTTCTACAGACCAAAAAGAAGATGATTTTGCTCAAATCCATTACAGCTGATATCCAGACCTCCAGTTTGGCTATCATTACATCTTCGACAGTGGTTCTCCCACACCTGGAGGCTAATGAAACCAGGATTTTTTTTTTCAATATCTATTTTATTATTGCCCTTTCCCACATCATACAGCTCATACAGACCTAGGTTAATGTTTTGCTGATAAGTTCTATTTTTTGACTATAGAGTTTTTAAACATTGCAATGGAGATTTCACCTGTAAAAAGTTATAAGGCCTTTACTATTATGTTATGTGTTGTATGTATTATATTACGTGTGCACACTTGTGTTTTGTGTTGTATGTTTGTATGTTGTATGTTTGTGTTTTGTGTTGTATGTTTGTATGTACATGGATATATGTCCATTTATCATATATGATGAGCACTCATGAAAAAATAGATCCAAATTTTCTTTTTTATTCACGTGATTTAAATGGTTTAATTTAAATTGGGTAAACAGCTGTTGAGGATTGTTTTAATATGTAAACAAAAAAGGAGGTTAACAGATGTGTTTGTTTACTTTCACCTTTCCTTTTCAATATATTTAATAATTCTGTTCAGGATAATGTAAATTGTTCAGAAAATTGCTTTCTTTTAGTGCCTACTGGAATGTTACATAATTTTTTCTTTAGCCATTATTGCCAAAATTCCTATCTTCATCCCAGTGCAGGTGAAGACAAAGATAAAAACCAATCTACAGCTTCTGCAATAGCTATCACTGAACTGCTTGCAGCACTTGCCTGGACTATGTATCATTTGTTATGCATTGTGAACTATCTGTTGGTGCAGCGACTTGTGGTAGTGTTGGGGTATTTTTGCTGATGGTGTCATCGGTGGTACAATTTTTCCAAAAGGAGCCGTCAGTTGGCTTGGTGTATCCTCCTCCCTTCTGCTTGTGATGGTCATTCAGCTAAAATTTGGGGGCCAACAGAGATGAGGCAAAGAACCTCACCCCCCCACCCCCCCACTGGTACAAAGGCTTATCTACAGGTGTGGCTGTATGCTGGACCGGTAGTCAATGACGGGTAAGATCCAATTGCATGGTACCAACCTAAGACAGGAGGCTGACGCCTTGAGGTCAGCTCATCCGAAGACGGGTAAGGACCATATGTAGTATTGGACAACCTAAGCAGGCACGGTCCCTAAGCCACATGCTTGTTGTTTAAACAGAGAGGGGGAGATGTTGAGAGCCACAGCTGAAGGGGCCCCAGCAAACTTCCAGCTGCCAGCAAACTTCCAGCTGCCGGCTGATGATTGGCTCACAGCGGCCCCAGCAAACTTCCAGCTGCCAGCTGATTGGCTCCTCTGCGGTGATGCTCATTGGGCTGTTCCCCTGCCCTTTCAGACCACGGAGCTGCTCACTGGGGGACTCTTTTGGCTCTGCCCATGCGACCCAGCCAATCGGCCTCAAGAGCAGGAGGAGTGGGGCGGGGGTTGAGAGGGTTGTGGGAAGCTGGTGGTGGCAGTTGGGCTCTGAGGGAGTTCCTGAAGAGCTGTGTGGTGTGGCCTGTGTGTTCTAAAAATAAAGTTCGTTTCTGCTTAATAAGTGGCTCGTGAATTGTGCCCAGCCAGACTGCGGCAGGGCCTCTGCTGTTGTGCTTGGTGGTTAGGATGGTGGCTTTCAAGGTGTTGATGCTGAGAAAGGAGGTGTTGCCTTGTAGAGATGGCCTTTGGCCTGGGCTGCCATGTCACCTGCCAGGGCCCTCCAGGGTACACTTTCCTGGCATGTTCACCTGGCAGGATGCTGAGCCAAACCACCCAGATAACAGAGGTAAAATGAGAGGCCCCAGCCTTTGGTCTTGTGTGTGTGTGTGTGTGTGTGTGTGTGTGTGTGTGTGTGTGTGTTCCTTCAGTGCTGATATTTAGCTGGGGCACAGTGGTACGCCTGTTAAACTATTAAAAGACTTCCATGTTGTTTGGTAAATAGCTTCTCTGTGAACCCACGTTACTGGGGCCTCTGCTGATCCTGCCCAGAAAGGGGTCCCAGGACCCTGCTCTATCGCAACAGCTGACATCCTTCTCCATGGCACAATCTCGGTGCCATGGTGGTTATTAAATATTATGCGTTCAGATCATCATGAAAACCCACCAGTGAGCAGCCTCAGTAGTGGTGACACCACCCTGATCCAGTGTAGAGCCTGAAACATAAGTAGACCAGGCTGTGCTGGATGCGGTACAAAACCCACTAGGATCTCTCTCTGAATCAGCACAAATGTCTCACCCATCAACCAGCAGGGTGGCCAGGGAAGCCCTATCATGGGGAATCACCCAAGCAAAACCAAACGAGCCCTTCAGCTGCGGTTGATGTTTTGTAGGAACTTAAGCAATTCAATGTCAGCCTCCGAGTCGCGGCTGGGTTGCAGGGCGGGCCTGGCGTCTACTCTCCTGACTACCCCTTGGTTTGGAGCAATGGCACAAGTGATTTTTTGTTGTTGTTGTTGTTGTTAACTTCAATATAATTTTCATCGTACTTGATTTTTAGACACTGAAATTGCCCATAATTGTGTCTGTCCTATCTCTATGGTAATATGGACAATTATAATGGATTATCCCTTTGTTTTCCCGGTCATTTGTTGATGCCTTTTTAGTTGTAAGGATGGGAAAACATGAGGCAATTTCACCAATTACTGGTAATGTTATTCAGATATTTAATTTATTTTCTGCATGCATAATCAGCCATAAATACATTTTAGCTAATGGAGATGACAAGGGTATAATATAATTTGAGCCAAAACAAATTCAAAATAACATTAAGAAGGAAATAACAAAACCATTGGGAAGAAAAGAAATAAGGAATTTGGTCTGTCTTTAGTTTCTCTCGTGGCAAATCTAATGTGGATCAGGTCTTTTGGGTTAAAATCAATTTCCAAAGGGCCTGGTATATACTAGGTACTTAATAAAGAGATGTTTTTTTCCTTTATCTATAAAAACCTATGACCGTGGATTTGGTGTTTGTGTCTCTCCCAAAGTTTATCTGTTGAAATCTAATCCCCATTGTAATGGTATTTGGAGGTGGGTCATAAGGGTGTATCTCTGCATTAGTTAGCTTTCTGTCACTATAACAAAATGACTGAGATGATTAATTTATAAAGAGAAAAGGTTTATTTTGGCCCATAGTTTTGATTTGGTTTCAATCTATGAGCAATTTGGCTCTGCTGCTTTGGCCTGTGTTGAGAGAGCAAGTCCTGCTGGGAGTGCTATCAAACCAAAAAGAGAGAAGAAGAGGCTCGGATCCAGGGTCTCTTCAGGGCCATGCATCCAACGACCCAAGGACCTCCCACCAATTTCACTCTGGAAGGTTCCATACCTTCCAGTACCACCGCCCCGAGCACTAAAGCTTTCACATGGCCTTTGGAAGACATTCGAGATCTAGCCAAGTCATCGTGAATGGGACTGGTGCCTTGAGGGCAAGAGACGTAAGAGATGATCTCTCCCAGCCACGAGAGGATACGGCAGCCGTGTGCTACCGGGGAGTGTGCTGGCCTGCTGGTGCCGGGGACTCCCAGGCTCCAGGGCGGGCAGCTCTGCGGTACCCGTGATCTGGATGGGCGCCCCCAGGGTCGTTTCATCTGAGTATTTAAACCCTTCCCTCTGACCCCCCAGCCCCACAGGCGAACCTCGGGGTCCAGAGAGAAGACAGCCCACAGACAGGAGCCTGGGAATGAGAGTCAGGACCCGGATCAAGAACCCAGAATGAGAATCAGTACCTGCCTGCTGCCAACACCAGGCACGCGGGTGTCTTGAGCTCTCTAAGTCCTGGCGAATCCAGGCACCACGTCGTCTTGCCAGAACAGGCTGCCAGCAGCGGTCCATGTTCTCCCCGAAGCCCGTCCTCTTTGAATACTGATTGTGCCAGGGAGAAACTCATTTGGTTGCTAATCTGCCTTTAACACCTGCTAATCTCCATTTCTTTTAAAGAGACTGTTCAACTGATTTGGTTCCTGGCGGGCTTCCAGCAGGGGTGGCCGCAGGGAGCAGGGAGTAACCAATCCTCAACTCCTATTCGTGTCATTCCAGGAAGATCCACGTTAGATTATTTTAAATGGCTGTCGCTTTGCCCAGAGGACGAGTGTGTGAATGAGGTTTGAGCTTGTCGGGTTTTTTTGGGGGGGGAGGCAATTGTCACCTTTGCTCTCTGTTCTTCCTGGCTCAGCGAACAACGGTCTGGGGGTCCCAGTGGCACCCGTGACGAAGTCCAGAGGTCTTTCACTGCACTGTGATAAGAGAAGAGGGTCCCACTGATATCGGAGAGTGAGGAGAGATATGGGCCTTTGGGGCTTTGGTGAGGAAACGTGGGATTGTCTGACGGTTACAGGCTCAGGGCAGAGAGTTCTCAAATGTCAAAGGAGCATTTTCCTCGCTTACGATCTAAAATCAACGCTGCCGTGGCTCTCCACCTCCGCGGCTGGTTTCCTCGGCCGTTGGCTCTGTCTTCCAGGCTCTCGGGCAGGGGGGCCACGGGGTCTGTCCCCTCTGGAAATAGACTCGTGTTTTAAGCCTGTTGAACCATCGCATGCCTGAGGGGCATTCAATGAGAACTGGGGGCTGCAGACTGGCAACCTCGGTCATGCGGGATCCCCCCAATAAGTAAATGCCTGTTTGCTGGTTGACAGTCTTGTTCACAGAAAGCGTGTGCCCTCCTGGCTGCAATCCTGGCCCATACCTGGGCCACTTGCCATGGCCTCTTGTGCTTAGCTTGCCAAGTCCCCAAGACCAGGGGTGGGTGGCCACATGTGGGGGGAGCTGCGTCAAGTGTTCCTCTCCAATCTCCGTGTTGCCTGAGTCACATGAACATGACCTTGTGACGCTTAGGGACAGAGCTAAAGTGAGGAGGGACCATGCAAGGCCATGTCTAGACTGGCATGGGAAAAACGTCCACCGTTTCACCTCCAGACCAGTGGCTCAGGGAAGTATCTGTGGACGACGGTTGACCGAAATGTCACTCTGCAGCACACGGCCGTAGCCTTGACCCTATCATCACCAAATCATGCACGGGACGGTTCTTACCGTTGGGCGCAAACCCTGATGTCCTTGGCGTCTGGCCCACGGCTCGTTCATCGGGACGGCTTACTGTCCCTTCTGTTCTGTTGGGGGTGACAACCATTCGGCAGCAACCGAGTTGCGCATTGTGTGTTTGTGTATCGTGTGCTCAGTTTCTGGGTTTTCAAGCATTGTGCTCTCAGGAAGTAAAAAACGAAACCAAGAAAGCTAAACACTGAAAATTGCACTAATCTGAAATAGGTTCCATATTGGACATGGGAGAGTTGTCTTATTCATCGAGACAGCAGTAACACTCGCTGGAGTGCCCAGATCTGAAGTGTCCAGGACAACAGTTTTAAATCACTGCTCAGAATGACGCAGCCGCCAGCAGCCCACCAACCCTCTGGCTCCTTTCAAGTCCATTCCTTCCCCACCTCCGTGACCTGATACCTGTCCCCAACTCAGGATGGTTCTTATCTGTAGGTGGATTCCCAGGATGTGGTCACTCCTATGGTTGGATTTTTTTTTTTTTAATTTTCTGATTTCTGTTGGCTTTGGGACTACGGTGTGTTATGCCTGAAGGGACTCGGGTTTTCATTTCTTTGGTAAATACTCAAGAAGAGCTGGATCGTGGGGGACCTAGGAACTCCTACAGAAAGTGCCACCTAGCTCTAAGAGCCACTGTGACATCATGCTGCCACGCGATCAACCTGTGAGAGCGCCAGTTGCTCCACATCCTTCCCAACATCTGGTCTTGTTTATCTGCTCCGTTTCAGCAGGTGTCAAGTGCTAACTGATTATGGGCTGTGGATTTGCATTTCCCCCATGTCTAATGACACGGAGTCCTTTTGAAAATGCTTCTTGATTATTCATCTATCTTTTTTGTGAAGCATCCATTGAAACGTTTTTGTCTGTTTTGAAAAATCTGGTTCCTTGTTTGAGAAAATACGGATGTGCAGGTTTTTGTGTAGAATAGTCCCCGCTTTTCTGCATGGGATGGATTTCAAGACCCTAATAGATGTCTGAAACTGTGAATAGCACTGAACCCTGTAAGTACTGTGTTTTCTCTTATATAGACATATTAAAGATGAAGTCGGACTTGTAAATTAGACACATTAAGGAAATAACAATAGCTGATGATAAATCAGAATGATTATAACGATCTACTATAATAAAAGCTTATACGTTGGGGGACCCTTATCAAGTAAAATAAAGGTTACTTTAACACAAACGCTGTGATACCACGACAGGAGATCTGATGACTAAGGTGGCTACTGAGTAGCTAACGGGTAGGTAATGTATACAGCATAGATACTCTGGGTGATTCATCTCCCGGGGGGATGGAATGGGATGATACAACATTTCATCACATTATTCAGAATAGTGTGCAATTTAAAATTCATTATTTGAATTATTTCTGGAATTTTCCATTTAGTATTTTCAGACTGAAATTGCTTTTCAGGTAACTGAAACAGCAGAAAATAGAACTCTGGATAAGAGGAACTGGGAACTTCTATATTTTGGATATAAATCTATGATCTATATAGATGTAAATATATTTCCAAATCTGTGATTGTCTATTTGTTTTCTTAATGGTATCTTTTGATAAGCAGAAAAATTTAATTTTGATGAATCTCCAAATTTAAAAAAAATTTCATTTATGATTTATACTTTTTGTATCCTGTTAAGACAAAAATCTTTGTGTGCCCAAGCTCATGAAAATATTTTTTTCTAGAAGTTTATGATTATGAGTTTTATGTCAAAGTATATAATAGATCTTGAAATAATTTTTGTGTATAGAGAGTAAAGGAATCATTTATTTTCTTTTCCTATAAAAATTCAGTTGTTTTCTCAACAGTTGTTACAAGGGTGTTCTTGACCACATTGGAGTGACTTGGCATCTTTATATAGAATCAGCTGACCATATATGAATGTGGTCTGTTTCTATAGTCTCTTTTCTGTTCCATTGATGTAGTTTTCTTTTTTTTAAATTTTATTTTTATGTCATTATATTATGCATTTTTTTTTGCATTACAATTACTAATACACATATATACCACAATTTTTCATATTGTTTGTATATAAGGTATTTTGTAGTTTTCAATCCTTCAATCCTACTCTCAGACTGTCTCCATTACAGTAGATTTAGAATCAGACTTGAAATCAAAGGATGTTAGTTCTCCAGCTTGGTCAATCTTTTTCAACATTGTTTCATTTATTTACCATGTAAATTTAAAATCGATGTTAATAAACAGCCTGAAGGAATTTTGATAGGAATCATGTTGGGGGGTATATCTACTGATTTAGGAACAATGACTCCATCAATAATATTGAGTCTTCTGATCTGTGGACACCGTGGAACTATTTATTCAGCTCTTTGACTTTTCTCTGCAATGTCTTGTGGTTTTTAATGGGTAGGTCTTGCATTTCATTAAATTTATTCCTAGCTATCTGATATTTTGAGGTTATTGAAAATAATATTGCTTCTTTTTATTTTAAAATAACCTGAAACATTCCAAAAAATTCTAAGTCCAAACCAACAACAACAACAACAAAACTCTGTTTCTTGAGGTATTGGAGAGTAAATTCCCCAAAGGATATATCCCATCGTCTCTTAATACTTCAACTTGTGTTTCATAAGTGCAGGGATATTCCCTCAGACAGCCTCAATACTAACATAAAAATTAGAAATACACATCTATCCATCGTTAACACATAATCTTCAGACTCAGGTCCTCAAGTTGCTCCCCAACTGCTCTTTATAAGAAGAATCACGTGTTCAGTTTGGTTTTACTCATCTGAGAAGGTTCCTCCATCTTTCTTTGACATTTGAAATTTGGACAAATTTTAAGATTATCTTGTAGAACTTGGATGGCCTACTCTTTCATTTTGATTAGATGTAGACTCTCCAGCTTTGGCAGAAATACCAGAGAAGTGAAGTGAGGTTCTTCCTGCGGAGGATTGTAGTTTTAATTTGTTCCTTGACTGATAATGCTCACTCATGTTGGTCGGTTGTCTAGGGTGGCTTGCCACCATGAATTTAGTATTTATTCACTTATAATAAATATTTTGTGTAGTGATATTTTGAAACTTTTGTTTTCATCCAATTTTGAGTTTATTGTCAGTATAGAATCACACACTCATGCTTAATAGGTTTTAATTGATTCAACTTTTTTTAATATTTATTTTTTAGTTTAAAGTGAACGCAATGTCTTTATTTTACATTTATGTGGTGCTGAGGATCGAACCCAGTGCCTCATGCATGGTAGGCGAGCACTCTACCAGCCCCAGCCCCAACTTTTTTTTTTTTTTTTTTTTTTACTTTTTAGGCTCAAATTCCCCAGATTTGGCTGGTAGGAGCACCTTTGAATTATCTTCTGCATCTTTTTAATAAACCCACATTATTCTTCGACTGAGTTTTTTTTTTTTTAAAAAAAAGAAGTCATAAGAAGATGTTGAAATTCAGTATCTTTCAAATTCATTTTCATCAAAAAATAAAAATTGTTCCTATTTGTGATTTACAACCTGATGTTTTGATACACGTGTGCACTGTAGAATGAATAAATCAAAAATAATTAATGTGTACCTCATGTATTTCACATATTTCATCTTTTTGGTGTGGTGAGAACACTTGTAAGCAATTTTAACATATATAATGTTTGTATTAACTAGAGCCATTGTGATTTACAGATCTGTTGATCTTATTTTCTTGTTGGAATTTTCTTAGTTGGAATTTTATCTTTTGTATGAGAGAGATAGAGAGAGAGAGAAGTGAGAAAGAGAGAATTCTTTCATATTTATTTTTCAGTTTTCGGTGGACACAACATCTTTATTTTATTTTATTTTTTATGTGCTGCTGAGGATTGAACCCAACGCCCCGTGCTTGCCAGGCGAGCATTTTACCGCTTGAGCCACATCCCCAGCCCTTATCTTTTTTAATCAACTCAACCCCAATCTCCTTCTGCCCAGCTGCAACTGTGTTAGACTCCACACATAAGCAAGACCATGCTGGATTCGTCTTTCTGTGCCTGGGTTATCTCACCTCACATGCTGCTCCCCAGATTCATCCATGTTGTGTGTGTGTATACATACAACAAAATTAATATTAATTTCATATATATATATAACCTTTATTTTACTTGATAAGGGACCCAAAATACAAGCTTTTATTATAGTAGATCATATTAATATCATCTCTATATCTCCAGCATCTATATCATCTGCATCATATGGTGGGAGTCCCAGTTCTGGTTTTTCTGCAGAGCCTCAGATGGTTCTCCATAATGGCTGTGCTACTTCACATTCCCAACAACATGCGAGGACTCCCCCTTCTCTAGTCTCACCAACGTGTCCTTTGTCCTTTGGATAAAAGCCTTTCCAACAGGTACGAGGCGCTAGCTCATTGTAATTTTAATTTGCATTTCCCCGATGACCAGTGAATTGGGCATTTTTTCCATACACCTGATTCCCACTTGTATGTTTTCCTTTTTATATTTTTATTGGTGCATGGAGATCATGCTTAGTACCGGGATTTATTATGCCTTTTGCATACGTGTGCCTAATGGTACGTTTTATTTTGAGGAATATCTTTGCTCATTTAAAAAATTATTTTTATTAGTAAGTTGAATTCGCTATGTATTTTGAATATTCATCCCTACATATTTTCAATATTAACATATTTGTCAGATGCAAATGCATTTTCCGATTCCATGGATTCTCTCTGTATTATTGCTGCCCTTGCTCAGCAGCTGTGTTTTGGTTGGATGTGATCCCATCTGTCTAGACTGTTAGCCTGTGGTTCTGGGGTCTGACCCAGAGCAACAAACAGAACAGCGTTTCCCAGAGCAATGGAACGGAGCATTGCCCCTGCATGGGCTTGTATGAGCTCAGCAGTTTCGAATCTTAGACTCACGCCTTTCATCCATTTACCTGCGGTGTGAGATCGAGCTCTGTTTTCATTCCCAGACACAGAGAGACCCAGTGGTGATCTGGTTTCCACAGCACATTCTTTGCATCTTTGTTTAAAATCAGTTGGCCGTAAATGCATGGGTTGATTTCCAGATTCTCCATTCTGTTCCATTGGTCTATGCATTTTTTTACACTAGTGCCATACTGTTTTGATGGCAACAGCTTTGTGGTATATTTTGAAATGGAGTAGCATGATGTGTCCAGCTTTGTGGTGGTGGTTTTTCTCAAGATTGCTTCGACTGTTTCCATGTCAGGTCACTGGAGCAGTGACTGATCCTATCTGATGTCCTATCTGATTGCTCCATCACCAGCCACCAGCTTGTGGGCTTCTGGAAAGTTCTCTGTCTCCTCCAGTTCTGCTTTCCTCCTTCCAGATCTTCTGAGGGTGACGACTCTTCCCACCGTACAGGACCAGAGTGCATGAGAGGGAGATTTGATGATATCTTTTTGTTTTTCTCTTCTTTAGTGACCAAAAGCCTGAAACCTCTTGTGGCTTCTCTCTGTCCTGCTGCCCACTTGTCCTTCCTTAGAGGAGAGTGTGGAGTGTGTGGGAGAGAGATTTCTCTCACCGTGCCATCCCACCCCTCTATTCCTTTAGACACGATATCATTACTGGTTGTGTCCTGGTGCGGGGGGATCTTTCTCACCCTGCTTTACGTGCACAGTTACCCAGCTCTAGATCAGACCTGTGACCAAGCCTGTGAATATTTTCAGCATTTTGATGTAGCTCAGGTGATTTATCTTGATTTTTTGAGTGCCAGTGATTGTCCTATAGGACTTTCTGAGTCCAAAACACAAGGGAACCCACTGACTTTCTTTTAAGTATTAAAATTAACAGATATATTTGAGATACACAAAGTGTTGATAACGATACCTCCATCAAGGGGGCACGCTGATGAAGCTAATGGCTTCAATTGCCCCCCCCCCCCGAGAGCCACAGCCCTTGCAGATGAACTTATAGCTCCTTTCATAAATGGATGGACTGTGTTTCTCTGCCCCTTGAATAGGGGTTCATTTTGTATATGAATTTGACCAGGATGCTATAACAAAATGCCACAGACCGGGTGGCTTAAAGAACAGAAATTTATTTTCTCTCAGTCCTGAAGGCTGGAAGTTCAGGATCAAGGTGTTGGCATGTTCCGTTTTCCCGAGGCTTCTCTCTTGGCCTCTGGATGGCTGCCCCCTCTGGGGTCCTCCCCTGGTCTTTTCTCTGTCGGTAGACATTCCTGGTATCCCTTCTTCTCATAAGGAGACCAGTTCTGCTGGATGAAGTCCCCTGCTTCATGACCTTATTTCATCTTAATGATCTCTTGAAGCCCTCTTTCTCAATACAGTCACACTGGAAGTCTGGGGCCGGGGAGATCCAAGATTGTCCCTAACGCCTTACAAGTTACTTAGGCCATTAGAATGTCGTGGAAGTGACAATGTGTCCGTTTTGAACCTAGATCTCCATCAGCCTTGTACTTTCTACTTTCTCTCCTAGGACACTGTCCATCAGGCGTGGTCCAGCCTGGGGGAGGAGGAGATTGACAGGGCGCAGGGAATCACCGCCAACAGACAACCAGTCACAAGACAGGATGGCTTTGCATCCGTCAATAGCCAACCTCTCCCAGGATGCCTAAGGCTTTGCTCCCGCCCACAGTCAACCAATCACAAGACAGGTAAGTCTGCCCTTGACCAGGCAGTGCAAGGTGACCTTTTTGGCTGAGTACATTCATAGAACTTCTTTGCTCACTCAAAGACCTCTGAGAAATAACAGAATCATAGCTCATTGCTTTAACCCATTAAGAATGAGGGGACCTATTACTCAGGAATAGGTAGCTGATGCTGTTAATAACTACTTCAATTTTCTTTCTGCATATTATAGTCATACTCTACACCGAGGAGAGATTTTTTTTTTTTTTGGCAAAGTTTTTCTGAAGCAGCAAGTCATCTGCATGTGATAGGAAGGAAATAGAATGACTTTATTTTTTTTCCCCCAACAGCTTGCATTAGAGCTCACTTGGGGAGAAACTGTTTTTATTTGGACAAATACAGAAGCTTGCCTCTCTGATATAATTAGAACTGGTAGTTGGCTGGTTAATCTTGCAGAAGAATTAAGAGTTGTCTATTAGCCACAAGATTTCCGCCTTCAGTGGAGGGCAGTGTGTTTTGCAGAGGAAATGAGGAGCGTTGGTAATTTTGATGAAGTGGTTTTTAGCAGGGATGGTTAAGAGCATTGTGTCTGTAGCCTGTGGTCCCCTATTTAAGGCAGGAGAGAACCTACGGGAAAATCCAAAGGAGCATAGAAAGAATCATTATTACACATATAACTGAGATCCAGATCATCCGTGTGGAAATAATGCCCTTGGTTCATCCATTAATGCACAAGACTTTACTAGATTTTTTTTTCAAGCAAATGAGCATTTATTGAACCCCCTTTAGGGGGAGCATGATAAAATTAGGAACTTTGTCACCTTCACCCACTATATCCCGAGTACAGCGGTGCTGGCAGAGATTAGGTACCACCTGCTGGTTGAGTGCAGAAGGAAAAGGGATCTCATACCATTTGATGGACACATGGTAAAGAACTAACCACTTTACATCTGACAGCAGGATTTCAGGAGGAAAGCTACTTTTGTTTAGAAAAACAGCTCAGAATAGACCCCTTGGGTTTGGAGAGCAGAGAGTTGGTAAGGCATGGTGAGGGAGGTAGCCGTGAAACAGATCCTGAAAGCAGATCTGCCAAAGAGAGTAGCAGTAACCTGGGATTTTTTTTGCTAGCGTGGAGCAAAACAAAGCAGAAATTCTGGGAGGCGGAAGAAGAGAGAAAATGGGGGTGAGTGAGGTGGTCCTTGGGAAACACTCTTCCGTTGGCAGGCAGAGAGGTTGATGGAATTTGAATACTGTGAGGTGCTTCGCTGCTAGGATTTAAAAAAAAAACCTTCAGTGTGGCATATTTTTAGAAGCCTGCTGTCCATGCAGCCTGGGTTAAGGACTGGGAATACGCACAGACATGGGCAGAGGGGGAGCTGGTCCACCCATTCGGTGGTCTCACCTGAGCGAGGAATCATCCGGTGATTGTAACAACCCTTTCCTGACATCTCAGGGATCCCCAGAGGTGGAGATGGCTGCTGAGCTTCTCTGCAGCATATGGTATATGTCTTTGCCAATTTCATTTGAATTTCAAAGGAGTAGGTGAAGCAGGAAAGCTGATATAGGGAAGGTGTGGGGGTTAGCTCTTGGGAAAGCAGACCTTTCAGGGAACTGGGGAGTGGGCGCACAGAGGAGGCTGGAGAAACACGTGGCTCTTCCCCAGAAGGGGGCCTCCATCCTACTTCTCAGGGACACACCACAGTCAGGTACAGGGAGACACCTGGAAGAATTTTTTCTGCTTTAATTTACACTCAAAATCCATTTTGTGGCTTTAAATGTATGTTTGAAAGAACTTCATAGATTTCTTTTTTTTTCCTTCCCGTGGCTGGAAACAGGCATTGTAACACCCTTAACTGATGAAGCTTGTACAAACATTCTTCTCTTTTATCTCTTCCATACTGAGATTTGGGTAATAGAAATTTTCTAAGAATAATTTCTCAGGATGTGTTTTTTTTTTTTTTTTTTGCCAACATTTACGGTTACAGTATTTTGATGTGAAGGGCTGGGGGTGTAGCTCTGCGGTATAATGCTTTCCTCGCATGTGCCAGCTGCTGGGTTCAATCTTGAGCTCTCCAGCACTGTGAGAGAGAGGGAGAGAGAGAGAGAGAGAGAGAGGGAGAGAGAGAGAGAGAGAGAGAGAGAGAGAGAGAGAGAGAGAGAATATTTCCCTGTTGCCCTTGAGTATCTTCCAACCTGCCAATGTGCGTGCACAGTGTGATGTAGTCACTTGTCACTCTGGAGGTGGACGGCAATTCTACTTCAGCTGCCCACAAGGCAGTCCTTGGGGGGCCTGCTTACAAGAGTCGGGGCCAGGGCCCTGGTTCCAGAACAGGGGCCTGGGGTAGAAGTTACGTCCTCCTCCTTGGCACTGGTTTCTTAGACTGGGTGACCACCTACCTCCAAGGATTTCTGAGGAAGAAGGTCAGGCTTCCTAAAACTCCAGACCCCCTACCTTTGCCCCCCCCCACTGAACTGATAAAGTGGGGGGTATATCTTTAAGATGGAGTCTCTGGAAAGGAATCCGAAGTTCCTGGTCCCTGGGAGGTGCTGGAAGGTATATATAATTCTTGAGCTCATCACGTTGGGCTTCAAATTCTGATTTTTTTTTCCCATTTAATTAATTCAACTTCACATATGAGTTATGACCTGACGTGGCTTTAGCTTCCATATCTTCGAATGACCGTCATACAACAGCAGCTGCTTTTCATTTAAAAGTACGATTGTCGCCTGCATCCCACTCCAGACGTTCTGATTTAATTGGTTTGGGCTGCAGTCTGAACATTGGGATTTTTAAAAAATCTCCCCAAGTGATTCCCACGTGCGATGGAGAGTGGAGAGAAGGATAAAGGGGAGGGAGGGAAGAGGGAACAGGAGCAAGAGGGAGAGAGAGAGAGAGAGAGAGAGAGAGAGAGAGAGAGAGAGAGGGAGAGGATGCCTCCTACTGATGTATGTGTCTTTGGGGGCATTATTTATCTTCCTCCTGAAGATCTGTAAAATGGGGATGATAATAGGACTAATTAATAGATGTCTTAGCCCACTTTCTGCGGCTATAACAAAATACCTGAGACTGGATCATGTCCGAAAGAGGAGAGGTTTATTTATTTCATAGTTTGGGAGCCTGGGAAGTCCAAGATCATGGTGCTGGCCCAGGCCCAGCCTCTGGTGAGGGCCTTCCTGCTGGGTCATGCCGTTGGAAAGAAGGTCACATGGTGACACAGAGCAAGCATGCCAGAGAGATTGCTTTTATATGACAAAGTTGCTCCTCCGTAGCTCTTTAATCCAGTACCCCATCATGAGAGCCAAGACTGCAAGCTCCAGTCACGTCCCCAAGTTTTGCCTCCAGTTCTTCACACACGATTTTAGGGCTTAAGTTTTCAACACACAGATTCTGGGGACAAACACGGAAGCCATAGCAGTAGTGGTCCTAACCTATTTGTGGCTTGTTAGATGTCTATCATAATCACATGATTAAAAATGGACCACACACCCTTATCCAGGAGCTGGGTGTGTGAAATGGAATCCCATTCATTTAAAACCATCGCATTGAAGTGGAACATAGGTCATAAAAAAGAAAAATGAACAAATCCCAAGTGTACTGCTTGGAGAATGTTCAGAGGTGGGCCCACAGCTGGGTGATATCACCTGGAGGCCCGGAAGATGCCATGTGCCTTGGTCATTGCCTCCTTTAGAAATGTACATTATTTTGACATTCACTAGTTTTGCCCATTCTTAATTTTTTTTAATGGATGGAGTCATACTGCTTATGCCCACTCAGTGGTGACATCGGTGTTCAGCATTTTGGCCTGTGGAATTCATCTGTGACCTTTGTCTAGTGGGACTTTGCTCTAATCTCCGAGTAAGGTCCCTTTGCATGACTCTACTGTATATTGATGTACTTGTCACAGACCTTGGCTTTAGTATACTGTGACATTCCTGTCATTTCACCAACTTTCTATATTTTTACGGTTAGGGTGTTTAAGTCTATGTTCGCGAGCAGTGTGGTCTTAGCCACTTTTATTGAGGTTAAAAATACCTTTTAATCATATTATTTAGTGCATTGATATTTAATGTGAATTACTAAAACATGTATGTTAAAAAAATGTTATCACCATGTTTTTGTATATATTTACTTTCTTTTGGATCAATCAGAGATCTTTGGTTCCTCCCTTTTTGCCCATTTTTAGCTTGTTTTCATACATTCTTTCATTTTCCTCTTAGTGGCTCTGATAGAAATTAATGTGCATTATTAACTTATCAAGGTCTGCTGTCTATAAACACTTTTGTAGTTTCTCAAAGGAAGAGCCTTACAACAGAAGTTGACTTCTATTTAGCCCCTTAGGTCATCTTTGCGATACGTTTTAATTCTGAAAATGCAGTAAATACAACGGGGCACACGACCAGTGTGTCACAGTCCCTATTCATTTAGATTCACTTGCAAACTTGTCCTGGCTGATGCTCTTTCCTTATTCTGCACTTTTCCTCCAGGATCTCTCCACAAGGATTTCTTCTACCTGAAGAGTCCCCTTTAACTTTCCCCCTCGTATCAGTCTGCTCTATGTAAATCTTTTCACTGCTTATCCAGGCATGTATTTATTCTACCCTCACTTTGGTGCTGTGGGTGGAACTTGGGGGATGGCTGTTATTTTCTGTCAGTCTCTTGCAGATGCTCTTTCATTGTCTTTTAGTTTCTATTGTTTCAATAGAGAAGTCCGCTGTTCATCTTGTTGCTGTTCCTGGGAAAGTGATGCGCCTCTTCTTTCCCCTGGCTGCCCATTTCCAGCCTTTCCCTCGTCTTTGGTTTCAACCCTGTGCCTCGATATTTTATTTTTCATTCATTTCCTCTCAGCGTTTGTAAGAGCTTCTTAAATCCGTGCTTTGCTCTTCCGTGACTTTTGGAAATTTTCGATTCCGTATCTCTTTGAATATTTCCTCTCCACCTTTTCCATTCTCTTTCTGAGACTGTCATTACACCTTGTTAGACTTTGTTGTCACGTCCCATGGGTCGTATTATCTGTGTTTCACCCTT